CTTAGTTTTCGCCAATCTGTGCTTCAAAATCCGTGTCTGCGCAAGTTGATAGGTTTTTTGTATCAAAACCTTCCCCGTTTTTTTTTGTTGCAGCTTTTCTCAGCCAAGTTCTCAAAAAATCTGGTTGTTGCGCCACTGAGCAAAGGAGAACAGCAGACTTTGGGCCCAAAGACCACGTTCCCGCGAAATGTCACGGGACATGTTGGAGGCCTTTTATATCTGACATTTTAGGTATGTTGTTTGTGTGTGAGAATGGATTCCTTGGGCAGAAATTGTGTAAACTCTTGTTGACCTGTCATTTGGTTAAAGCGAAAATCTGCAGGAAACCTCCAAATTTGGTGGTACAGTCCATAGTTTCCCATACATTTCCCCCTGTATACGTCAATGAATAAAATGTCGCAATACAGACAGATGCAGTTTTTCTGAACTTCACTTAGGGTCTTGCAGCGATGGAGGTGTCCTTCCTAGCTTCTGGCGAGATTCTGACAGTCCTGGATGAATTTGCAGGTAAAACAGCCACAGAGTTGAAGCTAGCCTTGGTGCCCAAAGTTGGCATGTCCATATTCAGGCAAAAAATCTTGCAGGGAAGATTCCTGTGAGAATCCAAATGATGAGGTTCTAGCTCCAGCTCCGCTGAGGGTCCAGCTGGTGGTCTTGGAATTTTGGCCACCGGATGCTGAACAAAGGCAGAAGATGATTTCGGCCGCAAGAGACAATGTCTGCAGCGGCCTCAAAACCTGGATGAGGCAGACGAAAGAGGCCGGACCCCCTTGCATCATGTTGCGGAGGTGGGACATCTTGAAGCTGCACTGCTGCTACTCGAGGCAAAAGCAAAGATTGACCAGCTTGATGATGTTTCCGGGTTTACACCCTTGTGGATGGCAGCTGAATTGGGTCATGTTGACATTGTCCGCCTACTGGTTGAAGCTGGTGCATTCAAAGATCAAGAGGCAAGCGATGGTGCAACACCCTTGATCGTCGCAGCTGGCAAGGGTCATCTTGAGATAGTCCGCTTGCTAGTAGAAGGTGGTGCAATCAAAGATAAAGCCAGCCACAACGGTGCAACAGCTTTGTTGATGGCAGTGCAAGAGGGCCACCTTGAGATCGTCCGCCTATTAGTTGACGCTGGTGCAGACAAGGACCAAACCACCGTGGACTGTAAAACTCCCCTGTGGTTTGCAGCTCTCGAGGGCCATCTCGACACTGTCCGCTATTTAGTCGAGCTGGGTGCAGCCAAAGATCACTCCGCCGACTACGGTGCAACACCCTTGTTCGTGGCAGCTCAAGGGGGTTATCTTGACATTGTCCGCCTGCTGCTAGAGAGTGGTGCGGCAAAAGATCAAGCCGCAAACGATGGTGCAACACCTTTGTACGCCGCAGCCCAAGAGGGTCATCTGGAGATTGTTCGCCTTCTCGTCGAGGTGAGTGCAGCGAGTGCAGCTACAGATCAAGCCACCAAGAGGGGTGCAACAGCCTTGTACATTGCTGCCGGCAAAGGCCATCTGCAGATCGTCACCTTGCTAGATCTGGTGCTGCGATAGGCCCAGCCACCAAGCAAGGTTCCACACCCTTTTTGATCGCGGCTGCACAGGGCCATTCGGACATTGTCCGTTTTCTGATCGAGGCTGGTGCAGCCAAGGATCATGCAACCAACGAAGGTGAAACACCCTTGTGCTTAGCCTCCCAAGGGGGCCATCTGAATGTCGTCCAAATGCTAGTCCAGGTTGGAGCAGCCAAAGATCATGTCACAAATGATGGTTACACACCTTTGCTCCTTGCGGCTGAAGAAGGTCATCTTGACATTGTTCGCTTCTTGGTTGAGTCAGGTGCCGATAGTGGCGTAACTGTCGATGGAGCAACAGCGTTGGATCTGGCTTCGCGACGAGGCCATGCCAAGATAGTTCGCTTTTTGACTAAGCTCGGGGCGACCTCCCTTGCCAGCAAAGTCCAAAGAAGTGAGGATAGCTGCTAGCTGAGTGCTGCTTTGAATCAGTTTTGTAAAAAGCATGTGCTTGCTACATGGCTTTGAAGCTTAACTTTGGACCGCCAGCATTTTGGTTATGTTGAATGTGTACATATCCTCCCTGGCTTTCAAATTCACAATTGGATGGTCAAATTCCAATTGTTTCACCCCTTTTTGATGATTAAATCATATGAAATCCCGATTGTTTCACCATTTTTGATGTAAATTTATGTGAAATTCAACTTTTTCGCCATTTTGATGGTTAAATCTATCTATTCGATAGATTTGATGGTCAAATCAACATTTTTGATGGGTTCTTCCTGGTCAAATCACTGTTTTCATCATCTTTGATGCTTAAATCATCTTAAATCACTCAAATCCATCATATCTCCAAACAACCCGCCAGCCCGTTCACAACCATCGTGCGGATTTCCCCGTTCGAACCTACCAGGTGGGCGTCTTCCCCGTGAAGCAACGCTTGTCGGATGAGGTGGCGAGTAAAGTGGTGGCCGTGGGTGTGAAAAGTGTCTTGGACGGAAAAATGGGAGCAATTTTCCGCCATGAAATAGCCATGAAACATGCTGAACATTAAGATTTAAGCATCAAACAGACATGGGGATTTCACATGAACTGATTTGAAAATCAGTGTTTAGATTCATAGGTTTTTAAGCACTAGGAATTTGGCCGATAATCATGATGATCATGGACCGACCAAACGGATGGTGAAAATAGCTAGGGTGTTTTCCCCGCTGGCCATGAGGGAAGTGAGCCATGTTTCGGATGGAGAATTGGTCACTTTTTTTGGAGTCAAAGCACGAAAGTATTCATCAACAATTATGGTGGGGTGCTTCTAGAAATGTGACGCTTTATGGGAAGTTGAAACCAGAAATACGACGGATATGTCCAAAATGCTGGTTATGTCATGCTCTGGGATCATAGCCTCTTGTGCCCCCCCCAAGCAGTAGGATGGTGATGGCAACATCTGTTTGCCCCACTGGAATCCCGGAACAGGAAGCATAGACGCCAACGCTAATGTCAATAATGCTGTGAGTAGCTCTAATCTAGCCAGTTGCCAGTTGCAATACCCTCTGGTAAACATTCACATAGCTATTGAACATGGCCCAGTCGAAATAGTGGATTTTCCCATTAATAGCATGGTGGATATTTCCAGTTCGTTACGTAAACGTTTACCAGGCCGGGTAGTGGTTAAATGTGGTGAACCATACGAATAGTGATCCGTTTATAGATGGGATAACCATGGATAACCCACCAAAAAAAGGGGACTTACCAACCAGGGTTAGAATTCCACCTAGCGATGATCCTCAGAGTATTTCAACCGTTTAAAACACGGTGCAGGACATCGGCACATATCAACTACCCTCTGGTAAACATGAAAAGTGATGATTTTCCAGTTCGTTATGTTAGCCCGTTTACCAGAGGGTAAGACTGGTCAACTGGTTTGTTTTATTTCAACGATCTTTTCCAGACTGGGGAGAATCAATGGCCATACACGATACACAACCCCGTTTTTTTGTGTACAACCAGCCGCAACCAGCCGTTGTGACTTCCACTGCAGAATTCAACATCGTGAACTCCACATGTTGGTCTCGATCTCGAAGCTCTGTTGCCGTACCGGGCCGTACTTAGGCTTTCAGAGGCCGTATCAGAAGTACGAGCACCCCATCATCGTTGGGATCCCTAGGAGTCGTCAGTGCTGAAAGTCAGTGCTGGTGCTATGGGAAGTGATGAAAAATGATGATGGGTTTTGCACACAATATATCATATACAATCATATACATATGGAGGTTTTTTAAGTCATGGGGGTACCCCAAATCATCCAAAACTAGACCATTTTAGTATTGAAACCCAGGGTGACTTGGGGATTTGTCATTTCTCAAGACCCCGCCATATGATTATTTGGGCCAGTTTATTGGAGGGTAGAAGAAACACCGATTCGATCTCACATTTTGGTTGCCGTGTCAAGATCATGATGTACTGAGCCATCTAATGATCACTAGCGATTTCATCAAGATTTCAGTGTAGGCTTGGCAATCAATATGCCACTGGGAGGAATTACATTGAATTACATTGATCTCACAAGAACCTCACCATGAGTTGCGGTGAGTAGCTGAGCAGCCTATCCATGATCTATGCACAATGGTCGCCCGGCACATTGCTTACATTGGTCGGATTTGGTCGGTGGGTTGTTTTATCTCAATCCTGACGATCGGTTGACACCACCATCCAGTTGTGGATTTTGTGGCCGGAACTCGTTGGGGTTCTGATGGTGCAGCTTTCCGGCTTCTCAGGTCAAGGTGAAAGAAGTAGCCCAATACTTTGCAACAACGACTCCCCATCACCATCGAACTCGCAAAGGATGTTCAACTGAACCAAGAGGAGTACAGGAATTGGTTCTGACTGGGTCAGGACTCTTTCATTTAGTTCGAGGAACAATTAGCAGGAAAACCACACATACTTCATGCCAAACACATAGAAAAAAACCAGGTGTTTCCGCAAAAAATCTGTAACTTTTCCGCCAAAAAAGTGTAAGAACTCATCCTTCAATGACTTCTGGGCCTTTAGTGCAGTGATCTCTGCAGGTGATTGGCGCTGGTCTAGGAGGCATGCAGACCATGATCAGTTTGATGCACTCGGGACGCAAGGTGCCTTTTTCGGGTCGGAAAATCATTCGGACCTTGGACCCAGTGGAGGGGTGAAAAATCACAGATCCCAAATGCTCCATGTAATGTATGGAATATTTACCAACATTTACCCGAACAAAATCACCCAGTTTTGTAGGTAAATATACCAGCACCATGGAGCATATGGGTATGATTAGCTTTCCACATTATGTTCAGCATCGCACATGGAACAGAGCCTCCTTCCAAGGCGAAAGGGGGTTATTTTCCTGAATTCTTGAGACTTGGGTGCTTCTTTCAAGGAAGAGTCTGAGTGATAGATGGTGCACACTTCCAGCAATTTTACTGTCGAAAACTGTGGGTGTAGGAGTTTCGGCATCCAGATTTATTGCTGATCCGTCCTTATGTTGGGATCCGTCCCTATAGTCCTTATGTTTGCAGATACCCTCTGGTAAACAAACATAGCTATTGAAAATGGCCATAGAAATAGTTGATGTACCGAACTTAAAGATGGTGATTTTCCATATAGTTATGTAACGTTTACCAGAGGGATCCAGAGGGTATAATTCTTTGCGATTTTGTGTATCATCATTCATGTCAAGTTGGTTCCCCTTTGCAAGAAATGTCACTGGCGGTATATTTTCCCATCAAAGATGATCATAGCAATACATGGACTACAAGCCCCCCTCAGTCGATATACGTGCCATAGTCAAAAAGTCGGCATATCATAGACTAGATATACTTTTCCTATCTTGGGAGATCGTCATCAATCAATTCACGTAGAGGAGTATACATAGTATACCCTCTGCAAATCAAACATGGCAAGTAGCATTCCACCATTTATAGATGATGACAAACATATACAAACATCATTTTTGCCATTGACCCCGTTGACATTGGAGGAATGACCTGGTTTATCCATAGATCCCATGGATCCCATGGCGGCGAGGACTTGTTATGCCTGGAGCGGCTGTCCACTTTTGGTGGCCACTCTTGGCTGGTGCCAAACTCAGGGCGTGCGTGGCGACCGACAAAAACGACTTGCCGAGTGACTAGGGAAGGGCTGCGAAGTTGGATCGACTGGGACAGTGACTGTTAGTGGTTTCACATACCCTCTGGTAAACGTTTACATAACTACGGAAATTCACCATGCTATTAATGGGTAAATCAATTATTTCTATGGCCATTTTCAATAGCAAACTGTTAGTTTACCAGAGGGTATTTTTGATGCTTACAAGTTTACCAGATGTGGACATTGATGGTTCGACCAGTTCCTGACGAAATTGTTGTTGAAATTGGTGCCGACTAAAAACCAAAACGAACCCCACTCCGCCTTGCGGTGCCCGAGCCTCGTGCTGGTGGCTGCAGGTGGTGTCCAACAAGTACACCAAGCTACAGCCGCTTGGCTCGGGGTCATGACTGTTGTGATATCTAAAAACCGAGAACGGGCAGATTGAACACGGGATGGAACCCAATTTTCGAGACGCGTGTTGCTTTGTAGACTTTTTGGTGATACCAGTATGTTCATTTTGGCTGGTGACACCCCTATTCCTTGTTTGTCATACCTCCAATATCCCAGGGAAACATATGGGAAAAGACACATATCCCAGTTCTTCATTCAGGTTTTGGACAAACATTTAGATCTGAAGTATCAGTGGGACCAGTGGGATAGTTCCCTCGGAAGCGCGGCTAAGGACGGAGAGCGGCAACTATCATGTGGACTACATGCTTCCAGATGTCCCGGCCACGACCGAGGTGGAAGGGGATGCCTACAAGTGGCTTGGTGAAAGGTCCTACCATCTACCAGCTGGCTTGCTGTCTGTTAAAAAAGTGGGCCCCAAATCCACTGATTTTTTTTCAGTGAAACATATTGCAGCTGCTATTTCGGGATTACAAATCCACTGATTCATTATCCAGCATTTTTGGAGACAAATTGGAGATAGTTGGGTTTTTTCTCAACTGCAAATCATCATTTTCCTGTGAACCACACGACGTTTATATATATATATATACACATATTATATATATATATATTATATACATACTATGGTTCAATGTTTCAATAATGGTTAAGTCGCCATTCTTCGCCATTTTTGCTGGTTTGATCCACAACAATTTCCTGATGGTTAGCCGCCTGGAGAATCTCCAGCATTTTTGATGGTTAAATCAGTTAAATCCATATGGAGGTTTCCTAAGTCATGAGGGTGCCATCAGTTACATCCATATGGATTTTTCCATTCACAATCCATTTCAATGAGATACAGAACTTTTATGCCCATTATAAATCCCACATTATTCCCATGAATTTCCACATAATTTCCATGGAAAGCTCCACATGTTTCATGGTTGGAGCCAAGTTTGACCCGGCGGAGGATCCATCGCACTGAGGACATGGCCCACGCGAGATCAGCTGCTGAAGATGTTTCGAGATGCCGCCAAGTGCGGAGCGCCCAGCGTCATATAGGAGTAGCCTCCAAAAAAAATGGATATCTAATGATGATATGATCATGGGGATATGTAACTAACAATTATATATACATATATATATATACACATTATATATATATATGCACACCCCAGTAATTATAGTAGTTTTGTCATGGGGATATGAATCCAACAATTTTAGATATTATGTGTGACATATGCGTATAATACCAGGTAGGGATCTTACCAACTGGAACAGCTGCGCAACTTAAAGTTGGATCCATAGGATTCCCACTATGGGGATGGGAAGACACCGTCAATTGACAGATATGGAAGTCCTATGGAAAAGCCACCCTTGCATGATATATCAACGATATAAATGCTGGCAAAACGGCAAAACTATAGATATCCATAGATATCCTATAATCTACTGGAGGGCAGTTGTGCGGGTCTCCGGCGACGTTTTGGCGGTTTTAAACGTCATCCCCCAGGTGGGGTTGACCCGTTTGTCCCCAGCCAGGCGGCATAACTTGGGTAGCGACCTCAGTGGGGTCAGGTTGGGCCCTGGATCTTTCAGATTTTCTGGCTGAAGCGGTTGGTTTTACCGGTCACCAGATAGTTCCAATCCTTTCTTGGGCTGAACCAGTACTTTTTTGGTGATGGTCCCATGTGTTTGTGGCCTGACTGAATAGACGAAACAGAAGGAAACCAGTTTGGAAGAGAAGACTCCGAAGAAATTCAACTTATAGCTGTGAACTTCTCCCCTTCACGTCATCTGGGAATGTTTTTGGGACCAAAAAATGGTCTCTTCCAAAAGGCTGGAGGTCACAGGGGGCCACCCATCTAGCTTGATGTTTAATTTACCCATGAAACTGGTCATTCTACCGCCTAAAATGGTACTTTAACTTCAATACTGTTTCTTTGGTGGGCTTCCTTAAATGGGCAAATTGAGGTTCCAGGTCTGTAAGGGACCAAGATGGAGATGTATTTCCAGGATTTTACAGAGTATATAGCTCGCATTTTCACACAAATTCCAAGTTTTCTCCACTTTTTCTATCCATTTTGTGAGGGTTCCCAGACGACCCCTTGAAATCTCTCAGGCACAGTCACCAAGTTCAACACCAACGTGGAGAAAGTTCGGCCACTTCCCGATGGCGATGGCTTCTCGCCATTTCTATGGAATCAGCCTCCATGAGGAAACCCCCCTTGGGAAGACACTGGATTATAGTTTAGTAATTCCCCAAATAGATAGAAATGGGATTTTCCAAGATGCTACTGAACTATAATGTTCTCCCCATAGTCAGCTTTCCAACTTTTCTGTCTCTTTGGGGGTTTCTAGAATCACCAAAAAAAACGATAGAACTCTAAATTTTACTTCTACTTCAGTGGCAGTTTATTTGTCTTTCTCTTTTTTGATTGCCACAGAGCCAGTAGAAGCTGGGTGCTGGGATGACCTAACTTGACCCATCTCCCATGTAACTTGACCATGGCACACATGGTTCCTACATCAGGATTAACCATTGAAATATGGGTTTTAACCACCAAAGATGTGGGGATGTAACTCTTATATCATTGATAAATGAGAATAATGAGATTGGTGTTGGCATGGGACCTTAAGTGTACCAGTGTACCACCTGGTGAATTGGGGACTATGGCGACTATGGCATCATTTTTTCAAAGATTCCGTTACCAAACAACAGGTGGCATGTCCATGGATCTCAGCCACGGGATGGCATGGGAATTTTTGGTCGAGATGATGATAAACCAATGGGTGTATCCTATTATCAAGAAGAAGAAGAAGAGGAAGAGCAACAACAACGACAACAACAACAACAACAAAGAAGAAGACGAAGAAGAAGAAGAAGAAGAGGAAGAAGAAGAAGAAGAATAAAAAGAAGAAGAAGAAAAAGAAGAAGAAGAAGAAGAAGAAGAAAAAGAGGAAGAAAAAGAAGAAGAAGTAGTAGAAGAAGAAGAAGAGGAAGAAGAAGAAGAAGAATAAAAAGAAGAAGAAGAAAAAGAAGAAGAAGAAGAAGAAGAAGAGGAAGAAAAAGAAGAAGTAGTAGAAGAAGAAGAAGAGGAAGAAGAAGAAGAAAAAGAAGAAGAAGAAGAAACAGAAGAAGAAGAAGAAGAAGAGGAAGAAGAATAATAAAAGAAGAAGAAGAAGAAGATGAAAAATAAGAAGAAAAAGAAGAAGAAAAAGAAGAAAAAGAAGAAGAAAAAGAAGAAGAAGAAGAATAAGAAGAAGAAGAAGAAGAGGAAGAAGAAGAAGAAGAAGAAGAATAAAAAGAAGAAGAAAAAGAAGAAAAAGAAGAATAAGAAGAAGAGGAAGAAGAAGAAGAACAATAAGAAGAAAAAGAGGAATAAGAAGAAGAAGAAGAAAAAGAAGAAAAAGAAGAAGAAGAAGAGGAAGAAGAAGACGAATAAAAAGAAGAAAAATAAGAAGAAGAAGAAGAAGAAACAGACGAAGAAGAACAAGAAGAAGAAACATAAGAAGAATAATAATAAGAAGAAACATAAGAAGAAGAAGAAGAAGAGGAAGAAGAAGAATAAGAAGAAACAAAGAAGAAGACGAAGAAGAAGAAGAAGAAGAATAGGAAGAAGAAGAAGAAGAAGAAAAAGAAGAAGAAGAAGAAGAAGAAGAAGAGGAAGAAGAAGAAGAAGAAAAAGAAGAAGAAGAAGAGGAAGAACAAAGAATAAGAAGAAGAAAAAGAAGAATAAGAAAAAGAAGAAGAAAAAGAAGAAGAAGAAGAAGAGGAAGAAGAAGAAGACAAAGAAGAAGAAGAAGAAGAAGAAAAAGAAGAAGAAGAAGAAGAATAAGACGAAGAGGAAGAGGAAGAGGAAGAGGAAGAGCAACAACAACAACGACAACGACAATGACAACGACAACGACAACGACAACGACAACAACATCAACAACAACAACAACGATAACGACAACGACAACGACAACGACAACGACAACGACAACGACAACGACAACAACAACAACAACAACATCAACAACAACAACAACAGCAACAACAACAACAACACCAACACCAACAACACCACCACCACCACCACCAACAACAACAACAACAAACAACAACAAACAACCAAGAACCAAGAACCAAGAACCAACAACAACAACAACAACAACAACAACAACAACAACAACAACAACAACAACATCAACATCAACAACAACAACAACAGCAACAGCAACAGCAACAGCAACAGCAACAGCAACAGCAACAGCAACAGCAACAGCAACAGCAACAGCAACACCACCACCACCACCACCACCAACACCAACAACAACAACAACAAGAAGAACAACAACAACAACAACAGCAACAACAACAACAACAGCAACAGACTCTTGGATTTGACTCAGGGTGCTGAAAAGTCATGGAAGGAATGCTCCAGAGGGGCCAACTTGGCCTCAACATGGTCCTCTGGATCCTTCCCTGGTGATGGATGGCCATTAGTCTTGGGCGATTGTGTCTCGCAACAAAGGTTGTTTGCCACATGGTTGGTGTCTTTTTCCGACAGACACCATGCAAATCAGAGTAAGAGTGGTGGGATATATCCTGTTTATTCACCTGACTCACTAGTCACTTGCAAAATGGTGCGCCCTCCGGCAGGCTGGATAATAATCCTGGTTAGAAAGTCCACGATTCGGAGGCAACTTAGTATCCCCATAAACTACGTATCGTAACTCCTAGCTCTTACTGGTTCCCAAATTTTGAGTGGTAAAATCACCAATTTCCATGGTGTTTCCCCTCTATCCCCTCTGCTTTTTTGGGCACGTTGTTGCGTTTTGTATATCGAGGCTATGCCGTGTACACATCGCCGAGTCATGGGGAGGGCGAATCCGAGCCTTGGTGGGCCATGGTTATTTCCAATGGGACATGGGTCAGGTATTACTTTGGCAGCAAAGAAATGACGATTGAACCAGCCAAAAAATAACAACCACTGATTCTTGCAGACATTTACATATATATATATATACATACATTGAATGCAAGCACTCCACTGATTCACATGCCGTCGCTCAAGGGTCAATTGCTAGGTGGATGGAATCCTTCCTTTGTGTCGGTTCCTTTTTGTCCTGCGCACTGCAACAGCCCAGGTCTTGGCTCTCTGTTGGCTGCTTTCCTTCTTGGCTTGTTGGTTGGATTTTGCCTGTGTGGACTTTTGGCCTGGTTCCCTTGTCTGTGGGCTTCTTCCTGCTGCTGAATCGGGTGTCCCTCGGTTTCTCGGTATTTGCATGAGCACCCAGCCTCGCAGCCACGACGACGAAGTGGTTGAACTCACTATTAGGCTGCGACACCTTCTGGATTTGGTGCTACCGGACCAAGATGTTGACATGTGCGGGTGGAGAGGAAGTGGATGGACACCTGGAGGTAAAAGTTCTTGCTGTGCTTCGTCGGAACGACGGGCTTTTGCTAGCCGTTCCCGACGGTGTCCTACCTCAAGATCAGCTCGATCAAACAAGCCTAGGCATGGAGTCTGGTTTCTAGGGCCGTCCCGTCTGTAGAGGTTCCAGGTGTGGTCTTGGATGGAGGTTGTCTGAATCCCTCGAGTTGCAGTGCCTTGTGGTAGATTTTCCGTGCCATGTAGTGGATTTGCTTCGTTTCCCTCAGTCCTTCGAAGACATGCCTTCACTTTCGACCCCGATCAGCCGTTTGCTGTGCCAGATCCTGGTGTCTTGTTGCCTCAGGTCTTAGAGTGGATTCAGTCTGCGGAAGTACGGTTAGGTCTAGAATTCTACCCTGCCGAAGGAGGCCCACCAATAGCTGTTCCCAGGATGCCAGCCAGAAAAGCAAAGACAGCTCGAAAGCCAGGAGATGGGGTTACAGAAGGCGGAAAGCAGAAAGCAAAGAGGGTCACCACGGCCCAGCTCTTGGATTCAATTCAGGACCTGATGTCATCTCTTCCAGAGCGTCAGAAGCTTTTGGAAGACAGGGTCACTGTTACCGGCCCAGCTTCTTGCCATGCGTTGAGTCAACCCCTTTCCAATGCTATGCCGGGGCCCCGTTTGGCTCCATCCGCTGTCGTGAGTCAGATCCAGACCCCTCCCAGAACAAGTCATGCGAAGAACCCTGGTTTGTTGCTATCCCCTGCTTTGGCAAAACCCCAGGAACTTTTGGAATTGGAGAAGGAGAAGCCAGGATCTGCTGAGGTGATTTCCAACGACATGCTTGCTCAGGCAGTGCTAGCCCAGTCAACTGCTTTGAACAACCTGGAAAGCCAGATTGCCCAGTCTTCTTCCGACCCTATGATGGATTTGTGGGGCCTTTCGGTTACTGGCACCAGGGGATCTCGTTTGCAGACAGAGCTTGCGAGTCAAAAGGGCCTTTTCTTCCAAAGTGTGATGCAAGCCATGGCCCGCAGGATGTCTCCCACAGTTCCTGTAGAAGGGGATTACCGACCGTTGATGGACAGGGGAGTATGTGGCACAAAGTATTTGGAGCGTTTTGGCGGTTATTACAAAAACCGGGATTTGGGCATGTTGATGTATACCAAGTTTAAAACTGGAATGCCGCCCGGGACGCCACGGCGCTTCTCAGTGTCACCATTGAACAGGCAGCCCTCGACGGGGGCAGGTTCGAACTGGCCAGTGTCCTGTGCCTTGAGGACGATTTGCCATCAAGCATTTTTGTCAACAGGCAGACAACTGCCCTGAGTCGATCTCGGTCGTTTGCCCCGTTGGCAGATCAAAAGTGGATAACCACGGCATTGGCCTACCTAAAAGAGCTCGGTGCCATCCAGACGAAGAGAAGAGAGTTGTCAGGCTCGAAGGGATCTGCCAGAAAAGACAAAACTCCTCAGCAGGATGCTGACCAGGAGGAGGGACAATGAATCCAGCTGTTCGTGGTCTCCCGGGCAATCTCAAAGCAGATCCGGATGATCTCTTCAGTGTCAGCCTTGATTTTCAGTCCTGGTGTCTCTGTCTGCCTCGTTGGATTTTTGCCACTAGGACCCAATTCTCTTGGACTTTGCTTCGTTCCTTTCATGCCAAGCGACAGGGTGCATCTCTGACAACCACAGCCTTTCCATTGCCCAGCCCATCTCTGGAGGTGTTTGCTGCGTGCTCTGGCCTTGGACTTTCGGCCAAAAGACTGAAGAAGCTTGCCCGTGCTCGTGTGGAGCATGTTGTTGCGTTTGTGCTCAACTACTTGTACTTGGGTAGGTTTCCTTCCTGTGCCGAGATCGGGAGGCTGCCAAATGAATCCCAGCTAGCTGTGTTTGCTTGGATTAGGTCGGCTTTGGCTGTGTGTAGGTCTGATCCAGGTAGGTTCTCTTTTGTGCCTGGCAGATCTGGTCCTGAATTAGTGTCTTGCACTATGCAACTTGAAGTTCACGAAGGGGTGCCCAGGTTTCGTTGATGCCTATTCTTCTGTTCCGAAAACCCCCTTTTGCCAGGATGATGGACTTTTCCCTGCAGATCAATACCCGCAGCTTGTCCCCCACCGTGACCTTGATGCCAGCCGCTTGCGTTTGTCAGGTGAAGGGAAATGGCCTATGGAAAGATATCTGCGGAACTGCTTGTGGTTGCCTTTTCAAGAACCTGCGTTCCTGCGTCATGGACTTTCCTTGGAGGGTGCATGTGTTCCTAGCTTCAAGTACGAATCCAAGACTGAATGCCTAAAGCTTGCAAAACTTTGGGACTGCCGTGGTTTGCTGTCCTTGTTTGGGGCGCCGCTCGCTCCTGGCTATTTTTTGTAGGGTTTTTCAAGTTTATAAGACTCCAGAGTGCGACCGCCAAATTGGTGACAGGAGGCTTCCAAATGCTTCGGAATTTCTGCCAAATGCATGTGCCCCGAGGCACTCATTGCGTTCTAGGGTCGGTTGTGGATAGGCGCGACTTTTACCATCAAGCTGAGGTCAGCGTTGAGAGGGCCCAAACGAATCTGTTGCCATTCCATGTCCCTTTGGCTCTTTTTGAGGGCAGCCATGCTCATGGAGAATTTTGCGCAAGACAAAGGGCTGCCGCTGAGAAAAGAGATAGGGTTTCCCATGGCGATCGTTTTGGTTTCAAAAGCTGAAAAGCTGCCTTATTGGTTCCCACCCTGGTTCAGCGTTTCCTGGATTCAAAAGCCTGTTCCAAGGAGACCACTTAGGTGTAGAGTTTGCTTTTGCCAGTCATGAGCAGTTGCTTGTTGATTAAGGACTTTTGGATCCTGCCTGTCGCTTGTTAGGTCATCCAGTTCCAGATGGTTGTCGGCTTGAGGGTCTGATCATTGATGACGATTTTGCGATAGGTGTTGAACCCTTATAACTAGGCCCGAAGTCTCCTTTGCTGCAGTTGCTTTGACCAGAGCAAGACAAGCATACGAAAAGCATGATTTGCCGGGGTCCCCTGAAAAGGATGTTGTGTCTTCTAGGGTCTTCAAAGCCGCAGGGTCTGAGATTGTATCTAGTCCTGAGTCCTTAGGAAATGGCATTGTCTCTGTCGCTGCTGCAAGGCTCCCTGGACTTTCGAAGAAGTTGACTGCAAGGCTCTCTGGAAACTGGGTGTCTGTTCTCCTGTATAGGCGGTGTTGGTCAAGTTTGGTTGATAGCTTCGCTCTTGGGGCATCATGTGAACTTGACTTTGCTGGGGGTGACAGCAAAATTGTCCCTCTCCAGAGGAAATGTGCCCAAGAGCTTGCTTGCGGCGGTTTCGCCTCTGATCTTCACAAATGTGTCTGTTTGGTATGACTCGAGGTTGCATCCGACTCCTCTTGTAGGTCTGGTGCTTTTACTTGGACTGAGGTTGGAGCGCATGAGACCAAAAACCTTTCGAGGCATGCTGGCAAGAAAGGCAGTTACAAAAAGCTTGATTCGCCTGTGCGGTTGTTGCTGAAAGAGCTTGTGCCTGAGACTGAGCTTGCTGAAGACTTTGTCTCTCTTGGTCCTTTCAAGTCACCTCTGCTCTACTTTGACTTTGTTGAGTTCTATGGCGGAGCTGGGGTTGCCAGCCACCACATGTCGGAGCTTGGATTCTGCGTTGCACCTGTTTTGGTTTTGTCGAATTCTTGGCATTCTGACATGTCGGATCTCAGGCTGCTTGAATGGTCGATCCATATGATTGAGGAAGGCCGCTTTCGGTCTTTTCTGGTTGAACCGCCTTGCACGTCCTTTTCTGCCGCTGCCCATCCGTCGGTCAGATCCTGCAAAGCCCTTGGGATATGATCGAGCGGAGAAAAAGACTTTTCATGGCAACTTGCATGCTTTTCAGGTCGTTTACACTGCTTCGAGTTGGAAGGAGAAAGCGTAGACCATGTGGACTTGAACAACATAGGCTCTCCAAAATGGCGTGGCTGTCTTTCTGGCGGACTTTGCTAGCCTTGGGTTTTGAAGAAGCCATCATAGCGTCATGTCAGTCTGGATGGTTGCACCGGGAAGAGTTCAGGTTTTTGGTCTATTTGCTTGATGCAGTTTTCTTGGAGGCACGCTGTCAAGGGGGGCATCACCATATCAGGATTGAAGGGAAATGGACCAAAGGTTCAGCCGTGACCGAAGATTTAGCCGTCTACATGGATGGACTTCGAAAGCACCTTGCTAGCACCTTTGCAAAAGCTTTGCGTTTGGAGTCGACAGATGATGAGCTTGTTGTTCATGGTTTTGAAAGCCTTTTTGTGAATGGCCTTATGGATTCATCCCACTGGACTTTGGGAAAGGTCTGGGACTGGAAGGAACATGCCCATATAAACGTGTATGAAACTGATGCGTTGGTTGTGGCTTTGGAATCTCAGCTGGATGCCGGCTTTTGTTGTCGACTCCTTGGTTGCGAAGGGTGCCTTGTCAAAGGGTCGCAGTTCAGCAAAGAAGCTTCAGCCAGCTTTGAAGTGTGCTTGTGCCATCCAGATTGCTTTTGACACCTATCCTGGTTGGTGTTACTCCCACCCGTTTGAATGTCCCCGATGACCCAACACGTGGACTTTCGCTGAGGTCACCTGTGCGTAGCAGCCTGGGGAAGAAGCTCGTTGATGAAGAGATCAGTGCTGTCGCGAAGTTTAGATTTAGACGGTTTGCTGCCAACTGGCTCCGGCTGTTTATCCTGTTGACTCTTCCCGGCTTCAGCTATGGATTTTCTGACCCTCTTCCATGTATTCAGATCTCTGACCACTTCCATGGATTTTATGCTGGACTTATCCCTTTCTGCTGTCTGTCTCTCTGCCTTCTTGGTCTGGATTGGGTTGGCTCTAGTTGGTGTGTTGAAGGAAGGAAGAGAAGAGCCTGTAGAAGGGAGAGGCCTTGGATTTTCTGGATGATCCTAATGTTTCTTGTAGCTCCGGGGGTTAGCGCAGCCATGGGGGCTTCGAGCGCCGAGGAAGTGAAGAGAGCTGCAGAACGAGGGAAGTTTCTTTTGCCTGCGGATAGGGTCATTGGAAGTCAGACAAGGGATTACAGAAGGGTTTTGATTTCACTTTTTCAGGCCTGGCTTTGGAAGGAACATTCAGTCTCTTTTCATGGACTTCTTAGCCAAAAACCGGTGGATGCGGAAGCTATAAGCTACTGGCTGGCTGAGTATGAGAGAGAACTTTATGTAGCTGGAAAAGCGTATGGCCAATACAGTGAGACCATCAATGCAGTGGCGATGTTGAAGCCCATTGTCAAAGGACAGTTGGCCTCAGCATCGGACGTCGCTTTTGCTTGGCTTGTTGATGAGCCACACCAACATCATCCAGCGCTACCTCTGTCAGTTCTACTGGCTATGTTGACTGTAGCACTTTCTTGGGGGTGGGCATATGTAGCTGCGGTTCTGGCACTGGCATGGGCAGTCATTTTGAGGATTGGTGAGGTGCTTCAATCCTTCCGGAGTGACCTTATCCTCCCCACGATACAGCTCCAGGAGTCACCTATGTTTTAAAGAAGATAATGGAGCCAAAAACTAGGGGAAAACATGCCCGCCATCAAGCTGCCAGAGTTGACCAGAGCGATATACTTCATGGCTTCTCCATGTCAGCGAAAATTCAGAGCTGGTGCGCAGAAGAGGTAGATGGCTGTCGACCCGTGTGATGGAGATTTATCTCCAGGAGGTGCTAGTCGCAACCTCCGTGAAGAAGTTGGAGCCTTCAGTTCGAGCAAAATTAGAAAAACTTGCGCAGGGTTTTGCTGGCGTCCTGGAGGCCGTTGTGGGCTTTTGGAAGCATGGTGTGCCAACAAAAACTTGGCACTTGCTGCTGCGTGGTGTAACGGGGCATGATGCAGGAGATGCTGGGGATGGATGGCAGAATTTATTTGGAGATGGCCTGAAACGGCCACCTTAGCATCATTGAATCCACGGCTTGGCTGAAAAAGGAAGAGCGCTTAATTATATAACAAACCCCAAAAAGACAGACAAGTTGAACACTTGGAAATTATGGAGGACACATCACCTTTAACATCCTGGACACACTTTTCTATCTTTTTGGGGGTTACTTATATATATATATAACATACACATAACTTCTCCAGGAGGAGCATTCTGTGTTTGACTTTCGTCCATTCCAAGTCTCATCCCTTCACTACAATCCCACTGTAAAACCCTGGTGACCTTCCATTTGGATTTGTTTGAAAGCTTGGAACCACCGTCCACTTGGTTTAAACAGTCAATTTCCTGATCACAATTTCCGTCCCTCTTGGGGCTAATTAAGTTTCATATATTGTTTTTTTGTTGGGTTTGCACCAGTTTTTTTGATAACTGATCCTCATTATTGCTGGCAGTTTTTAGATTGGGCCATTTGATTGCTGTCAAATACTACCATGGTTCTTGGTAAACCCCGATTTCTGTTGCAAGAAATACTTAAATCTTAAATCCACATGTTGTCAGTGAACCTTCAATTTTGGTTTGCTCACTGTCAACCCTGGCCCCACAAAGATGGCAGAAAAGTGAAATCCGATTCGAAAAATCAAAGATAAACTAAGGTAAACAACATTTTCCTGCCTTTTTTTGGGGGTTGCCATGCCGTAAATCCTCCAATTTGTCAGTGAAACTCCGATTTCTATTGCTCAAATGCCATCAAATCAAATTTCTGTGATGAACTAGTTCTATTGGCTAAATCCACGCCCCAACTTCCCAACTTTCTCCGGCGCAAACATCAGCACGAAAAAAAAACATGGTCGACTCCCAACTCCTTCCAAGTGATGGTTTTTAGTCTTTAGTTTTCGATGGTGAAGTCGTCAGAAATTCTGTGGTTCCATCAGTTCCATCACCATTTTTGGTTCAAACTGCGTTTTTCGTGTCCCGAAGGAGCTCCTGGTGGCCTCCGCCGTGTTAGCCTGGCCTGGCAACTTGTGCAACCACCGCGAGAACCTTGTCCTTGGACCAGCTGGGCCTGGGCTTGGGCCGATCATGGGAAAAGATGGGAAAGATGTGGGGAAAAATGTGGAAAAATCGGGGAAACATATGGAAACATCATGGGAAACATCTTGAAAAATCTATGGAACAAATCTGGGACACATAAGGAAACGCAATGGAAAGGGATGATACTGGAAAAAAAACAAAATTTCCTGGAAAAAACTTAAGAACCTGGAAAACACATATAAATTTACTGGAAAACAATTTAAGGTTCCCCTGATCCTTTGGTCCCCTGGTCTTCTGGTCCCCTGGTCCTCTGGTCCCCTGGTCCTCTGGTCCCCTGGTCCTCTGGTCCCTTGGTCCCCTGGTCCCTTAGTCCCCTGGTCCCTGGGTCCTCTTGATCCCCTGGTCCCTTACCCTCCTCATCCTGGCCCTTTACCCTTCTCATCCTTTGATCTCCCAAATACACCCTAACCAACCTGGACCTGAAATAGATCCAAAAACTAACTCTAGACAATATGCTGCAAATAACATGAAATGCTGCAGATAATCCCTTGCATAGTAAAGATGCTGGCTCCAAGATGCTGCGAGCACGGTGCAAACAAGGGATTCAAGGCTAAACCGCTTTAAATACGATGCAAATTGCAGAATTAAGTTCCAAAACCCTGCACATATTGTACACATAAGAGATTTCAGCGGCACAAAATTGAATTATTCAAGGCCAAATCGCTTTAAATATCATGCAATTGCATGTTTAAGTGCCCAAACCCTGCAAATATTGTACAAATAAGAGATTTCAGCTGCAAAAAGGTTCAAAGTACAGATTCTTAAGTTTTTTTTTCCAATGTCTTAAGTTCTTTTCCAGTGTGGAGAGTAGGGGTGAACTTAATTGTTTTTTCTCCAGTAGTCTTTTCCAGTGTCTACCCCAATGGAAACATCATGGGAAACATATGGAACAAATATGGAAAAAATGCGGGGAAACACAATAGATCATGTGGGAAACCCGATTCCATTAAACAAATTCCCCACCTGCCAGGTGAGGGTTGTTAGATTTTATCAGGAGTTGTTCTCCTCCTCCTCCTCCTCCTCGGCTAGCTGTCCTCCTCCTCCTCCTCGTCCTCCTCCTCTAGTTTCTCCTCGACCATGTCTGCATCAACTTCCACCTCCACTTCCGCCTTGCCAACTCTTCGCCAAGCTCTTTGCCAACTTCCCAGCTCAGTGTGCACTGGGACCTCAACCTGCGAGCTGCCCAGCTCAGTGTGCACCGCTGGACCTCAACCTGCGAGCTGCCCAGCTCTCTGTGCACCGCTGGACCTCAACCGGGGACCTGCCCAGCTCAGTGTGCACCGCTGGGCCTCAACCGGGGACCTTCTGAGCTGAGTGTGCACCGCTGGACCTCAACCTGCGACCTGCCCAGCTCAGTGTGCACCGCTGGACCTCAACCTGGGACCTGCCCAGCTAAGTGTGCACCGCTGGACTTCAACGGGCAGATAGAATGCCAGAAGATATGCCAGATAGAATGCCAGAAGATATGCCAGATAAAATGCCATGAGATATGCCAGATAGAATGCCAGAAGATATGCCAGATAGAATGCCAGAAGATATACCAGATAGAATGCCAGAAGGTGTGCCAGATAGAATGCCAGAAGGTATGCCAGATAGAATGCCAGATAAAATGTCAGATAGAATGCCACAAGATATGCCAGATGGAATCCCAGAAGATTTGCCAGATAATATGCCAGAAGATATGCCAGATAGAATGCCAGAAGATATGCCAGAAGCTATGCCAGAACATATGCCAGAAGATATGCCAGAAGATATGCCAGATAGAATGCCAGAAGATATGCCAGAAGATATGCCAGGTAGAATGCCAGAAGATATGGTGGGGATCACACGAAGTAAAGTAATTTGTTTCATGGCTTTTATAGATATACCCAGAAAAAATCGGATTTTTGTAGCAAACCCAAACTAAGATAGAAGTTGGCATAAAAGATAGAGTTCTATATAAAATGGGGATAAATTGACCCTTTTCTGCATCTTCTGAGGGGTTTCTGCATCTAGGAAAACGCTAGGAGATTTTGAAAGGAAAACAATCGGCAAACCCGGAGCTCTCCTCCAATAAAACTCAGTCCCCAAGTTCTTATCCAAAGATGGTGTTTTTGAATGGGACCAGAATTTGCTTTAGGGTCCCTAAAATTTTAAGAAACTATCATCAATTTTCATGGGACGATCCAATTCTGGATAGCATTTTTTTAATGTGATTTTTCAATAGTAGATGGGAATATGTATATATACAATATATATATAGCAATAGTAGATAGCACTTATTAGTTTTAAATTGTAATTTTATGTGTTTGACTGGGGGAAAAGCGGATGATCATCCATTGGGCTTGTGGTTTTGATTTTCAGAGGAATTACATACTAGTCACCATGTTTTTAACTGCTCCGAAAATTGGGAGGTTCATCAAAATTTATATCGAAGAATCTTGCCGATTTTAATGGCTGGCATGAGGATTTGTTCAGTTGGTTATATATATATATTTACATGTATATAATTGTTTTGGGACGGGTGAACACCGACCATCATGGGTATTTCAACCAGAAATGATGCTTGCGAGGGGCTACATTTTTTTGAAAGATGGGGTGGGGTTATGGTCGCGGTCTGGGATAAAACCAACCCAATATTTGATGAATGAATACCCGAACATGACAGTTGTTCTGGCAACATGTTCTAGACTGAAGCATTCTCAATTGAGAAAAATATAGCGGATTTCAAGCCCTCAGGAGCTGGGATTTCAGGGAGCAGAACTGGATCACGAGAGATTGTCCTGGAATTCACAGCAGGGCATGAATTTCCAACAGAGACAGAGTGAATCCTCGCCATGGAACTGTTGGTTCATACTCGTACTTTTTTTTTTGCACACCCGCATTATGACCATAGGAACCAACATCATGGGGATACGGTGTGTATTTATTTGTGCGATATAAAACAGACTAGTGGGATGTAAACCAGACAAATCATGTTTCATCTTCTACTTTACCAGCCAGGTTTGCAGGTGAATTTCCTATTTTTGGCCAAGAAATCCTATGCTGCCTATGTTCGTTGGTCAGAAATCCCTATGTTTGCAGGGGCATTCTCTGCCAGGGGTAGATACACAGATGGTAAGAAAGATTGCCCAGATTGATGAGTTTGTCTCAAATGGGGATTGATCCTCAGTGATTTTTCTAAACTCGAAATTTTCTGGGTTTTCTTGGGCTTGCTGCTAAAAAAAACATTTGAGTGCTGGGAATGTTCAAGCCATGACACACACACACACACCCAGAGTTTGATGGTGAACTTCCAATTTTTTGGATGGGTTTTGGAGGGGTAATATGAACATGCATGTTGTGATGGGTTTTGCGAGGTTTTGATGGTTTCTCACTTAAACATCCCCAACATCCAACCATGCTTTTAAAGTCGCTTCCTCTCCAGAGACTTTCTTCGAACTCATTCTCGATGAGGATCGAGTGGCCTGGAGAGGAGGACTTTGGGGGCTACATCGCCTATGCTTCCTTTTCCAAGGCGACATCCGGACCTTGCACTGACAGAAATGCGAGGATGGAAGCATTAGAATGGGGCAGTTGTGCCACCAAGTAGATATTGTGGCTGTGATTGACTTCCATCCAACATGGTCAGGTTTTCGCTAGCCAGAATTAGCCATATTATGGCTTTGTCCAGGGTATCGGTCACAAAATTACAATTTCTTACGGATGGCGAACATGACTTTCTAAAGCAAATCCAGCATGTTTCATGGTTTTCTGATCTGATATCATGTAAAAACGTGGCCAGATCATCCATGATCCATAGTTTTGGACATCAAAATGATGCATTGACTGATGCAGGTGGATTATCGAGAAGCTGAAGGAAAAGTCTGTATCCTCTACGGGCACGGCGCCTTCACCATTGAAAACGTCTCCTGGTCGCAGCGGTCCCAGGTCTTGGTGAAGGATATGTATATGTATATATAGATCGATATATAACATATATATATATACATAATATACATATATATATATATATGTGTTTAATTTGAAGATGAATTCTGCCAACATCGTCTCCCCAAACTGGATGGACATATTTGCTGAAACTTCATGATTCAGGTGCGTACGCTGTGTGAGCATCGCTGCAAGAAAGTGGTGGTGATGTGCCGAAAGCGTCGCTTGGCAGCAATTCACAGGGG